TGTAGCGTGCTCCTTTGGGAAAGTGATGTGGCTGAGAGCCTGGGCTTGGGGAATGTCGGAGCAGAACTCAAAACCAGGCTCTGCTATTCGCTGTCACTGTGGACAAGTTGTTCAATCTCCCTAAGCCTCAGTGCCTTCATCTTTGAAGTAGGGATGTTAATTAATACCTGTAGGGACCGGCCCTGGGCAAAATTGGCTTAAGCCCAGAGTCAGCTCAGCGAAACTAGGTGTGTGCAGGGACCGTCCCTGGGCAAAAATTGGCTTAAGCCCAGAGTCAGCGAAACTGGGTGTGTGTAGGGACCGTCCCTGGGCAAAAATTGGCTTAAGCCCAGAGTCAGCGAAACTGGGTGTGCTCTCCTTGGCGCCAGAGGTCAATAGGCCCAGGCCCGGCCTGTTGGACAAACAGAATTATTCCTCATGACAGATAGCTTTATGACAGATAACCAAGCGCCTGGGGTCTTGCAAACAAGCCAAGGCATCTCATTGTCCTGCATACGGTAATGAGATGAAGAAGTTAAGATGCAAACATTTGCTTCCCTTAAGCAATCGTGTGGAATGTATTTTCCTCAGGGCGCCCAAGGTAGTCACGTGCCAGGAAGTAGCTGCCGGACAGAGAAAAGTGTAAGAATAAAGCGACTGGTGGAATCCCCACTGCAGTCTTGTACGTCTTGCGTGTATGTCTGTGTGTTTCTTTCTGTGTCCATCCCCCGTTCTGCAATCCGGGCCGAGACAATACCCTTCCCGGCCGGGCGCGGTGGCTCACGCCTGTAATCCTAGCACTCTGGGAGGCCGAGGCAGGTGGATCGCTCAAGGTCAGGAGTTCAAGACGAGCCTGAGCAAGAGCGAGACCCCATCTCTACTAAAAATAGAAAGAAATTATCTGGACAACTAAAAATATATAGAAAAAATTAGCCAGGCATGGTGGCGCATGCCTGTAATCCCAGCTACTCGGGGCTGAGGCAGAAGGATTGCTTGAGCCCAGGAGTGTGAGGTTGCTGTGAGCTAGGCTGACGCCACGGCACTCACTCTAGCCAGGGCAACACAGTGAGACTCTGTCTCAAAAAAAAAAAAGAAAAAAAATTAATACCCTTCTCCTGGCTGTGCTCCGCAATCAGGCACTGTCAGATTATGGATTCTGGAGGGGAGGGGCACATGGCCAGAGGAGCCTGGTCCTAAACACTTTCTTTTTTCTGGCCTCGAACACCTCAAGTTATCCTGCCTCAGCCTCCTGAGTAGCTGAGACTACAGGCGCACACCAGCACGCCCAGTTCTGACCAGTTTTGTAAACTGGTTTTTTATCGGAATATCTGCCTGCTCTTTGGGACTTGTTTTCCAGCAAATAACAGAGATGCAGAGCAAACCTTTTCTAAGAAATATGTACAAACACTGATGAGCCATGGCAAGTTCTAAGAATAGTCATTAAGAATATAGCAATTCGGCTGGGCACGGTGGCTGATGCCTTAATCCCAGCGCTTTGGGAGGCTGAGCAAGAGCATCACTTGAGCCCAGGAGCTTGAGGTTGCCGTGAGCTATGATCATGCCATGGCACTCTGGCCTGGGAGACAGAACAAGACTCTCTTTTTTTTCTTTGAGACAGAGTCTTGCTCTGCTGCCCAGGCTAGAGTGCCGTGGCATCAGCCTAGCTTACAGCAATCTCTAACTCCTGAGCTCAAGCGATCCTCCCACCTTGGCCTCCCAGAGTGCTGGGATTACAGGTGTGAGCCATCACGCCCGGCCATGACCCTGTCTCTTAAAAAAAAAAAAATAAAGTCATAGGATTAAAAAAAAGAACATAGCAATTTAGTGGGTCTAAAACCAAGCTGTAAGTTGCTGGTAAGTAAGATCCCTCTGAAAGCTGTTCTGAGCAGAGACACAAACTGTGCACCTTATACCCCACTTAGCATTTTCCTCCTCTGCCTTCCCAGATGGTTTCCTCTCCAATGGAAGGTGAGAAACTGCTCCCTGATAAAAGCTGCTTTAGAAGTAATAGTGATTTTATTAGTTGTCCTTGGGCCTGCTGAGGACGAGTCCCAATCCTCCTGCCATTCTGCAGGCACCCTCCGGCGGCCTGGGCAGCCCCCGCAGGTGGAGGGCAGCAGAGGCAGAGCGGGCAGAGGCACAGGCGGGTGGCAGCAGCTGGGAGTGCAGCTTGTGCGTCTCCCTAGCACCAGCGCCCTCCCCTCTGAGGGAGGCTCTCACTCTGTCCTTCTTCACTTCCACTGGGCTGTAGCTTTGGGCAGGTGAATAGCACAGGGGAGCCTTCTCTCCTTGTCCCTCCCACACCCCCCTCGTCCAGAGCTCCCTCCCGTGCCACTGGTGGGGCACCTAGATGATGGAGGAAGAGGAGGCAGGAGGCCAGTGTCCATGCTAGTTGGTCTAGTTGGTCTTAAGGGCAGCGCTGGGAATGGGGCAGGGGCTTCCTGCACACCCAAGAAGATGGGCTGGCTGAGTTCCAGAAGCTCATCAAACTGTGAGGTAGCATCTGGCTGGTCGCCCTCCCTGCAGCCACCCTTCTTCCCTCTCTGGAGGCCAGGAGACCCTTCTCCAGGTCTCCAGTAGGGAGGGGACCCGTCAGGCAGGGATCGAGGAAGGCTGCTTGTGGCATCCCTTGAGAGAAGCCCCTTCCTCCAAAGAGGCCCAGGCAAAAAGATCCCTCAACCATCTGTCTGCAGGGGGCTGGTGGGGGTGTCCCTCAGAGACCAGTTGGAACTGAGACCCTCAGATCTCAGCAGCATGGCTGTGGGGGAGAGCCAGAGCCGTGGTGTGACAGTTTTGGCATCTCAGAGCCCCAGAGGCATGGCTGTGGCACTTAGAAAGGACACACTTGCACCCTGTCCACAAAAGAGCTGTAATCAGGCCCTGGGCACCACCTCCATGGAGCTGGTAGCCAGCAGTGGTGCCAGAGAGTCAGGGTCAGAGTCCTCTGTTGAGAAAGCTGAGACCCTTCTCAGGCTCAATGGAATGTCACATTGTAGGATGCTTTCTTCAGGGTCTCCAGGAAGAAATGCTCATTCTCCAAGAAGTCTCGGTCCTGCAAGGCAGATTTGGATCAGCAGCCATGCTTCTGTGAGCTGAGAGAGAGGTGCAGCCCTGGATCCTAGCCGAGCCAGCCCTCACTTGGGGAGCCCCCACATCACATCCCTCTGATCCTGCTTGGCTCTGGGAGACAGCACAGGCTGTGAAAGAGCCTGGGCATAGTCTCAATCCTGGTGAGGCCACTTGTTTGCTGGAGCACTTATGAGCACAGGACTTCATGCTTCTTTTCTTTTCTTTTTGAGACAGAGTCTCACTCTGTCGGCCTGGCTAGAGTGTAGTGGCGCCATCACAGCTCACCACAACCTCAAACTCCTGGGCTCAAGCGATCCTCCTGCCTCAGCCGCCTGAGTAGCTGGGACTACAGGTGTTTGTCATCGCGCCTGGCTAATTTTTTCTAGTTTTGGCAGAGACAGGGTCTCGATCTTGCTCAGGCTGGTCTTGAACTCCTGACCTCAAGCAATCCTTACAGCTCAGCCTTCCAGAATGCTAGGATTATAGGTGTGAGCCACCTCGCCTAGCCTCAGGCTGGTCTTGAACTCCTGGTCTCAAGTGATCCTTCCACTTTGGCCTCCCAAAGTGCTGGGATTTTAGGTGTGAGCCACCGCGCCCAGCTGTGACTTCATGTTTCTAAGCCTCAGTTTCCTTATCTGTATAGTGGAGATAATAACATTTCCTACCTCCTAGGGCTGGTGAAGCCCTTAGCATCCAGCCTGGCATACAGGAAATGCTCCTTAAGTGATAACGGTTGTCATTATTACTATAGAGCGAGGAATGAGATGGACCATGAGGTTGACCTGAGATGATATATGCAAATTGCTCTGTACAGAACCTGGCCTAGAGGACAAGTCTCACTGAGCAATCTGCCTTAGTCTCCTCCGTGAGCTGGGGTCAGCTTCTTCCTGCCTCGCTGCTTGTCACCCACGTGAACATGAGGACCTCCGAGTCCCGGAGACACTCACCTGCTCGGCCGTGTGCTTCAGCAGCACCAGTTTGGCGTAGAGGTTAGAGGGTCCTGGGCCCGGGCTGGCCAGTGGCTGGCTGCACTGAGAAGCGGTAGGAGTCATCATGAGGGCTGCAAAGGCCAAGGAGGAAGTCAGGGACCAAAGCGTTGGTGGGAAACCGGGTAGATGTGCCTTGTTCCCCAGGCCTGCTCGCCCACTCCGGTGGGTGGACCCTGGGCAAATGGCACCAACTCAGAAGCCTCTGCGGGAGGCTCGTGGATGCTTATCTGGCAGGTCTGTTTCTAGGAATTTATCCAAGGGAAATAATCAGGCAAAGGTGCAAGGATGTATGTAGAGAGATTTTCCACTGAGGTGCTGTGACAATGAATCCCTCGGTATGGAACAGCCTCATCATGGAACATCGTGCCGATTGAGAATTGCTCAAGTACTCAGTTACTGAGAAGAAAACATGTTCCACATGTGTATTACTCAGTAAAAAAAGTCAAGTTCTAAAACAACATGATACAATCCCAATTTTGTTTTTAAAAACATATATACCAGTGTGGAACATTATGCACCAAAATGTTAAAAAGTGGTTCTCTTGGGGCTGGGCGTGGTGGCTCAACCCTGTAATCCTAGCACTCTGGGAGGCCAAGGTAGAAGGATCGCTTGAGGTCAGAAGCTCAAGACAGCCTAAGCAAAAGCGAGATCCTGTCTCTACCAAAAATAGAAAAACCAGCTGGCTGTGGTGGTGGTGACTGTAGTCCCAGCTACTTGGGAGGCTGAGGCAGGAGGATTGCTTGAGCCCAGGAGTGTGAGATTGCAGTGAGCTATGATGATGCCACTGCACTCTTATCCCGGGCAACAGAGTGAGACCCTGTCTCAAAAAAAAAAAAAAAAAAAGTAGTTCTCTTTAAACTAGGAAGTGGCATCGAGCGTTTTTGTTTTGTTTTGTTTTGTTAAAGAAATGGGGCCTTACTCTGTGGCCCAGGCTGGAGTGCAGTGGTGTGCCATCACAGCTCGCTGCAACCTCAGCTGTCTGGGCTTAGGTGATTCTCCCATGTAGCTGAGACTACAGGTGCGTTACCACCACACCTGGCTAATTTTTCTATATTTTATAGAGAGGGTGTCACACTATGTTGCCCAGGCTGGTCTTGAACTCCTGGCCTCAAGTGATCTCCCATCTTGGCCTCCCAAAGTGCTGAGATTATAGGCGTGAACCACCATGCCCGGCCGATATTTTAAAAAGTTGTTTCCCCACCTCTATTTCTGATTTATTTCTCTAAAATTAACATGAATTACTTGTGTAAAACAGAAATAACGAGATAACTTTAAAATTCAGCTTGCCCTCTAACTTGAGTGGTTGGAGGATATCCTGCGTGCTGTTGGCCTTGCTGCTGCCAAGGGGACCAGCTGAGGCACAGTCCCTTCTGGAGCCACTCACCACTCAGGCTGGAGGCTGCCAGGCCCGGGGCCTTGGGGAGCAGCCCCGTGAGGCTGGAGGGCAGGTCCTGTCGTGCACGGTCCAGCTGCAGCCTCTGTTGGGCTAGACTCAGGTGCTCCTGTGCCCATCCCCCCAGAGAGAAGGACTCAGCTGTGAGGGCGAGAGGCTGGGGGGCCTGGGGCAGCTGGAGCTGGGGAGCCGGGAGGAGCCTTGCCTGGTGCATGTGCTGTTCCTGTTGCCGCAGCCGCTCCTGCTGCTGCTGCACCGCCTGCAGCCGGGCCTGCTGCTCCGCCTGCACCTGCTGGGCCTGGCGCAAGGCGCGTTCCCCTTCCTCGTACTTCTCTGAGGCCACCTGCAGGAGGCCGTCTGGGTCAGGGCTGGCAGGGGTGGCTGGAGCCGCGCCCATGTGCCCCATGCCCAGGCTGCACCTTGCTCATGCTCTCCACCTCCTCCGAGTGGAGCCTGACGCGCAGGGCAGCGACGCTGACCCTCTCCTTCTCCAGTCGCAGCTCCTGCCGCTCCCGCTCCAGGGCCTCCCTCTCGGCCGCCAGCTGCTCCTCCTTGGCCTGGAGCTCGCTGGCCCGGATCTTGAGCTCGGCCTTCTCCTGCAGACGGCAGGGCCCCGCTGCATTCTCCTTTCAGGAGCCTGGCTATGCTCCGCACAGGATTCCGAGGCCCCCTCTGACCTCCCTGCCCCAGGGAGAGGGTGGTAGAGCAAGGGGCTTCCGGGACGGGCCAGAGAGGCCTGGGGCCAAGCCAGGGAGCTGCCCACGCAAGCCACATGACACGGCAGACGCAACTTCTCTGAACCTCAGTCTCCTCATTTCTAAATGATCTCAGTCATGGGAGTATGATGAGGACGGATGGGAAAATGTGCATAAAGTGCCTGGGGAAATACGAGGAAGCTGATGGCACAGATGCTGTTTTAACTCCTATATCCAGATGGAGGCTCTGGGCCTTACCTTGGCCAGGCTGACGAGAGTGCTCTCCCGCTGGGTGTCCACCTGCAGTGCCCGCTCCACCTGGCGCTCAGCCCGCTCCTTACTCAGCTGCTGCTGTGCGAAGAACTCGGCCCACTCGGCTGCCAGGCGCCGGCGCTCCTCCCCACACTTGTGCATGACGGACTTCTGGTCTTCCAGCAAGGCACTCTGGGACATGGCGGGCGAGGGCACCGTGTGAGTGTCCCCGGACACAACGGCCGTGTCAGCAGGCTGAACGCGGTGGCTGCACTCACCTTGGCCCGATCCAGCTCGGCCCTCTCCATGGCCATCTGCTGGGCCATGACCTTCCTTTGCTCCTCAAGGGCGTGCTGCATGGACTCCATCTTGGCCTGCTCGGCATGCACTCGCCAGCGTTCCTGCAGGGCCCGGGCCAGGCTGAGTGTGCTCCCCACCCCGAGGACCAGGCCTGGCCGCTCCCTGAGGAGCTGGGCAAACCCACCTGCACCTCCTGTGCTATGCCACAGACGCCTCCTGCCTAAAGAGGCACAAAATGAAGGGCACCTGGGAAGGACTGTTAGGGCCTAGCCCCTGCCATTCTGCCTGAGAGAAGGACCCAATGGCTGCCAGCCCAGCCAACTGCACCAAGGCTAATGGCTCAGGAGAGCCAAAGAACAGCAAGGTTCTTGCCCCCTGAATCACCAGCGTGAGGTGACAGCTTAACTGTTCCTGGCCTAGGCAGGTGCTTAACACAGTTACCAACTGACAGAGTGAACAAATATAGTTCATGACATAAAAGCACCTATATCTATGTTGATATGTCTACAGGGTACAGATTATGTGATCAGTGGATGTCTCTGGCTAGGAGGCAACTTTTATTTTCTTCTTTATTGTTTCCTGTATCTTACTTTTTTCAATAAAATGTATTATGTTACAACCTAGTATAAAAGAAAATATTATAATTTTTAGAGATGGGGTCTTGCTACATTGCCCAGGCTAGTCTTGAACTCCTGGCCTCCATTGATCCTCCCACCTTGGCCTCCCAAAGTGCTAGGATTACAGGCAGGAGCCCAGCCTTATTTTTTAAATAAAGCTTGCTCTTATATATGGAAAATACATAGGGAGTTCCAATGTGTCTGTTCTAGCTGAGGAGGAGGGAATGATGTTTAGTGGGTAAGAGTGTCTGTCCCAGTCACTGGCATCAGCTGATATGACAGATCTGAGTGTCTGGAAGGGAAGTGGGAAGCACAACTGATGGTTTGGAGGTGGGGGTAGACTGTGGAGGGTGGCCCTGGGATGGGTGGTGGTGGGGCCTGTGGTGGCAGAGAGCAGGGAGGGTGCAGGTGGGGGGCCCGGGCAGGTGGCCCCTGTGTGCTCAGGGGGGCAGTGCTGAGGTCCAGGCTGGGGCAGGGAACACAGAGGCAGGAAAGGCAGGAGGGAAATTCAGAGGGGAGGTGAGCCTCAGGGAGCGACCGGCTGAGGAGGTGAGGTCAGAAAACTGCAGCCACACGTGCAGGTGTCCTGGGAGGGGCCCTGAGGCAGGAGCACGGCCTCACCTGCTCCAGCACCCGGCTCTGCTCGTTTAGCCGCGCCTCCATCTTCCCGATGACCTCCTGGAGCCGGCTCCGCTCCTCCTCCATGTCCCGCTGCTGCCGGCCCAGCTGCTCCTGCAGTGCTGGGGGCAGCCCACAGGGCACTCACAGCCCACCCATCTTCCCGCCAAGGGGCCCAGGTGACTGAGATGGGGAGGTACCTCGCAGCTGCTCGTCTCGCTGCCGGGTCCCCAGCTCCCGCTCCTGGGAGGTGGTGAGGTGTGAGGCCTCCACACGAGAGGACAGCTCGTTCAGCTTGCTGGAGAACTTCTCCATCTGGTCAATGATGCCATTCAGGGACCTGGAGGGCGACCGGGTCACGCTGTCCCGGGGATCCCCAGCCCTGGCCCTCGGGTGGACAGGGCCTGGGTGGTTCACGTACCGTGTGTGGGAGGTGGCACTGGTGACCGCATCGATCTCTCGGTCCTTCAGCAGCTTCAGCCGCTGCAGCTGCTCCTCGTGGTCCTTGCGCATGTCCAGGATGGACGCCCTGAGGGGCAGAGGTGGGGACGGCCCGGGCAACTCTGAGCAGGACCGCTCGGGCGGTGCAGCGAACACTGTGGCCACTCCTCACCGCTGGAGGGTGTGCCTCTGAGCGGTCCCTGCTGACAGGGCACTACCTCAGTCTCCCCAGCTCCTGTCTTGGTGCCTCAGTGCTCTATGCACGCTTTCTGAGGAGGCGATTCCTCCCGTTATTCAGCAAAGGACACTTTGCGTAGAGGAAAGAGCTGTGTGCATAACGCTCTGTGTCTGCCCATCTGAACAGCTTAAAAGACCTGCTCTGCCCTCACTGACCTTCGACTCCCTCAGATACCTTTTTCTGGTCTCGTTCTTGTCTAGAGAGACGACCGCATCAACGTGGGAAGCAAAACAGCACCCCTTTCCCAGGGCAGATCCAGTCACCAGCCTCTACCTGGTAGCAGGCGCGTGGATTAACCAGCGCTTAGTCAGGCCCTCGGTGCTCGCCGCTGCCACGCCTGCCCCAACGGCCAGTGACCCTCCAGGCCCTGTGAGTACCCCTCTGCCTCCGTAAAAACAGGTGGCATCCCATCTCTGGGGGCAACGTGTCCCTAGTCCTCACCTCAGTGGGCTGGAAGGGACGGGCTCAGGCTCCTGGTCAAAGGCCGCTGAGCTCCAGCTCAGGAGCTCACAGGGATCCCTGTCCTCTGGCCAGTCCCGGCAGGCATGCTCCCCACCCGCCCATCCCGGGCCCTCACCGCTGCAGCTCCCGGAGCCGCTCTATCTCCTGTTCCTTCTCCTGCTCAGCAGCTGCCAAGCGCCGCTGGTGCTGGGCTGTGAGCTCGGCGCGGGCCTGCTCAGCCTCCTGGCAGTGCGACAGGTAGCGAGCTGACAGCTCCTCGTTCTCTCTCCGGAGTCGCTCCTCCCGCTGCTGGTACGATGTTTCCAGCACCTTGACACGGCTTCTGCCAAGAGAACGCTCAGCTGTGGGGCTCAGAAGGCAGAGGGCCACCACCTAAAAAGGCCTTTGGGGTCAGTGTGGAGATCCAAGGCAGAGCTGGGGCAAGACATGAGCCCCGGGAAGCCCGGGCAGGTGCCAGGTACCTGTGTGTGCTGTCGACGAGCTCCAGGTCCGCCTGGTGTCTCTGCTGCAAACTCTCCAGCAGCAGCTTGTGCTGGGCCCGCTCCAGCTCCAGCTTCCGCACCTAGGACGTGGCAGGACGCTGGCGTGGAGGGAGGTGCCGGCTGGCATGGGGGTCTCTGCTCCACGCTGCTGTGTGCCTATCGTTCCTCCTCCTTCTGGGGAAGCTTCTGACCATTCTCAGGGATGCCCTCCCACAGCAACCCTGCCCCTCCTGCCCGGTGCCCCTCTGCCCCTCACCTGGGTCTCCAGCTCGGCCAGCTGTGCCTGGCTCTGCAGTAGCTCAGCCTGGAGCCGGGTGGTGCCGCTCTGAAGCTGCACCTGTGCTGCCAGGAGCTGCTTCTGGTACTCTGTGCCTGGCAGCAGGCTCCGCGCCAGCGACTCTGGGAGCAGGGACTGCAGGAGAGGAAGAGGTGTTCCAGGTCAGGAAGGGGATAGGGACCCAACTGAGCTCAGCTACCTCTTGGTCCTCTGCTCACTGGACTTCCTGGGCCCTGCACCTGATCTGTGGCTGCAGACAGGGGACAAGGCCGTCACACTACATGGCCAAGGATGAGGCCTTGGAGAGTCACGGTCACTGCAGCTGAGCAGGCCGCATGGCACCTCCCCCTTCAGGTCTGGTCAGGAACATGGACTGCCCTCCCTCCCTCCGATGTCCTCCCCAGTGTGGTCTCCAGCTTCTGAGACAAATAGCCATGTCCCAGCAGAGTCTCAGCTGCAAGAGCTCTGACACCGGCCCTATCTGTCAGGTCTGGAGCTCACGTGCTGACACTAATCTGGATCCTGCGAGCTGCCCCCTCCCCCCAGTCTTCCTGTGATGTGCTCCTGGGGGCCACACCTCCCAGGCCCAGGTGCCAGAGGTGACTGCCACACCTGGGAAACCAAGACAGAGGCACGTGGGAGGATGGCAGGGATGAGGAGGCTGGCCAGAGAGAACGATGGGACCTGCAGCCCTGCTTTCCGATTGGAGCACTCCCAGCCCCCGACCTGGCTGCCACCTCGAATTCCCCACAGAGGCTGCCAAATCAACATCTAACTCTGCCTGGAGGAGCAAGGCTAAAAGTTCAGGAAAGCGCTGGGGGACACGGGGATGGGGGCCAGCGTGCACAGGCTGACGTCACATGTGATATGCTGGACGCGTCTTTCCTGGCAGTTGTCAGGTCACAGTGCTGATGTTGCCTCTGAGCACGGGAGAATGGCTCCCCGGGCCCAAGAGCTATACCTGTTCATCCATCCTCCCTGCCTGGCCAGGCACAGGAAGGCCTGTGGGTTCCTGGGAGCTTGGGACACAAATGGCAGGCTCTGAAAAATCAATAGCAGAGAGACAAGCAGGAGGCCCAGAGGTCTGGGACTGTGCGTGTCTAGGAGGGGCCACAAAAGCAGCTCAAAGCACCTCCTCCCGCCCAGGGTGGAGCCCCCGAACAAAGCAGAAAACACACCGGTGCTGGAGAGGTCTCCAGGGGCCGTTCCCGTCTTTGGGACACCCGCGGGGAGGGCCAAGGTGGTCTGATTCCAAGTCACCGAGGACCTGAGGACAGGACACGGGGAGGGGGGCCAACGTGAACAGCCTTCTGTGTGGGACACGGTGGGTGGGGGGCAGCTGACTAAGAGGGAGGGTGTCTCGGCTGTGCTGGTGGCTGGTGAGGGAGGTGGGGACCCCGCCTCAGAAAGCCCTTCCATCAGCAGGCCTGCCCCAGCGTCCAACACCATAGTTAAGCACTCGGGAGCCCCACAGTGGCCTGTCATCCATCTCTAGACTCGCGCTGCCCACTGCGCCTCACTCACGCTCAGCTCGGCTGCGGACATACCTCGAGACGTTGGGCCTGGCAGGAGGTATTTCTCGCACTGTTGTTCCTGAGGTCCCTCCAGTGGCTGCTTGCTCAAGCCCTCGAGTGCTGGCAGCTGGCCGGCTGAGCAAAGGTGACATCAAAAAGGGGAGTGACAGAAGGCCCACGTGAGGTGGGATGCAGATGGCACCAGGACGAGCTCCAAGCGTGAAGCCCCTGGCCAACCCTCTTCCTGCTCCCACCATTGCATCTCGGGGGGTTCTCCTCCCAAGCCTGGGCTCCTGGATGTGTAGGGTTCCCTTCCTCTTCCCACCCCAGGGTCCACAGTGAACGGATGCTGTCCAAGGACTGACAGTGGCCATGTTATGTACACTGGAGTTAAGCTCAAGTTCAGAGTCTTGTTTTGGCCCACTGAGCTCGGCTCAGCTTTCAACTGAAGTCTGCGCGACCTCCTCCCAAGTCCTGTCGCCCTTGGTGACACCCTCCTGTCTATAACTTCCACCTTCCTCCTTGGCTCCCAGGGTAGGCAAGGAGGCAGGGTCTTCTCTGTTTTGGTCTCAGCTTTCCCCTCAGCTTCAGGTCAAAGTCAATGGCTGCCCTCCTGACCTCACACCAACCCTGGGACTGCGTGATGTCCCTGGGCTGTCACAAGTTGCCAGTTCACCTCCCCTGGGCTCTGGCCACAGGGCGCATCTCACTTCCTCTGGACTCTCTGGCTTGCCAGCCCCTTTTGCCTTCCTGCCCTCAGAGGTCACTCAGCGTCCTGCCCCACGGGATTGCCATTCTGTGTCTTCCCCTGGGAACTGCCTCTCCGCTACTATGTCTCCTCTAACACTCGCCAAGGGCACAAGGACATCTCAACTCACACCACATTCACCTAAGCTGGGGCTGGCAGAAGCACCAACGGTTTGGACGCTGGGGTTGCCAGCCCAAGGGGCTGCCGGCAGGGTGTCTGCACCTCAGGGCACCCTCACTCTTCTCCTGCCCAATTAAGTCAGCACCTGCCCCTTGGCAGTCAGGGCATGAGTGTCAACAGCGTCCCAGACCCCTCGTGTCTGCACCTGGGCCAAGCCAGGGAGCGAGAAGCTCTCCCTGCAGTGCCCAAGAGGAAGAGAAGCGGAGCTCAGAGAAGGCCTCAGTGCCTATAGTATGCTGCCTGTCGCCAACCGAGTCCGCAACAGGCAAGGCAGGCAAGGTGGGCCCTCAAAGCCCCACCCAGTCCCACCTCCACTAGACATAGCAGCCCAAGCCCGTACCTGCCAAGAGGGGGATGGCCTGCTAGTCCCACCACGCTTGGGCCCTCAGAGGCCTCAGTGCACTCCTCTCTGGCCAGGCCTTGGAACTTCTTCTGAGACAGGGCATGGCTCAGCCAGTCCTCCTCTTTCTCCTCGGATGCTCCTGGCTTGGAAGCCTGGCTGGCTTTGGCAGGGTACCCTGCACCCTCAGCTGGTGGCTTTGTCCCCGAGGAGGGCAGCCCAGCCGGGGCAGGGTGCTGCCTCACAGGAGGGGGTGCGGAGGGTGAGGAGTGCACCGAGCCTCCCCTTTGGGCCTCTCTGGTAGGAGAGGGACAAAGTGGGTCCAAGCTGTCGTCCTTGAGGCCCAACCAGTCGGCTCCTCCCTTCTTGGGCTGGATGGGACTGGAAACTGCTGGAAGGCTCTGTTTGGAGCCTGGTTCTCCCTTGGCATCTGGACCACCATCTGCTAAGAACCTACTTCAAGATCAAGAGGAGGGTGTCAAGCAGGGGAAGCAGCCTGTTCCAATCATCCCCTTACCAGCCGTTCCCTCCACTGCAACTCCTTGGCCCACAGCGAGGAGTCACCTACGCCCAGTGACTCTGCACAGATAGCCCGAGGCCCAGTGAGCAGCGGCTTCTGGACCAGCTCAAGCCACAGGGTAGCCGCAGGCTGTGTGCTATTTGTAGAACACCACAAAATATGGACATCTTGACTTCCATCACATGAACCAGGGACAAGTCTATCCACAGAGAATAGGATCAAATTATAA